CCGCACTGCAACTCCCTGCACTGACACCCCAACACTGAGACACCAAGCACTGACACCCCATCACTAACAGCTCCGCACTGCTACTCCCAGCACTGACACCCCAACACTGAGACACCCAGCACTTATACCCCAACACTGAGACCCCCAGCACTGACACCCCATCACTAACAGCCCTGCACTGACACTCTCAGCACTGACATCCCAACACTGAGACCCCCAGCAGTGACACCCCATCACTAACAGCTCTGCATTGACACTCCCAGCACTGACTCCCCAACATTGAGACCCCCAGCACTGACACCCCATCACTAACAGCCCTGCACTGCTACTACCAGCACTGACACCCCAACACTGAGATCCCCAGCACTGACACCCCAAGCACTGACATCCCAGCACTGACACTCCCAACACTGATACCCCAGCACTGACAACCCCAGCACTGACACCCTCAGCACTGACGCTCCAGCACTGACACCCTCAGCTCTGACGCCCCCAGCGCTGACACCCCAGCACTGAAAGCCCCTGCTGTCAATAAATAACAACACTTTGTTATATATTCTTGATTAGAACTCACAGAATAGTACGGAGAACAACATAAAGAACTTTCGCGTCTCACCTCCTAACTTCCACACAGTATTTTTCCACACTTATTTCCTGAAATACACAAAGCATCATCACATATACATTGAAACCCTTCCATTCCTTTCCTCAAATCAATGCCCCTCCCTCCGAGGTGACTCTGCTCTGAATCTGCTGTAGGTGTGTGGAGTTGGGTGACATTTGGAAAGAGAGTGTGCTACACTGTGAATGTACCTATGTTTCCAGTACATTCACTAATGTGAATGTACTTATGTTTCCAGAAATAGAATGCAGTATTTTATTCCCTACTTGAATCTTGAAATAATACAACGGAAGTTCAAACCTGAAGTACTGTAAAAAGTTTGAAAAGCTAAGTTCCACCGCACGATGTGAAGATTCCCCTGGGGCTGGGGCTGGGGCTGAGGCTGAGCTGTTGGCCCTGGCCTGGGGAGGGGGTGGATGTGTGGTGTTGAGCATGGAGCCTCAAGGCTTGTTAACCATTTTGAGGTCACCTGTGGGCTAATTTTGTTGGTATGTGGGTTCTAATTCCTTTGTTTTAATCTCCATGTCACACCAGCGTTTTCTTAGCTGTTGATTTGTTCATGGGTGTGTTCGTTTGTTCTTGCCTTGCTATAAAGAAATAACTGAGACTGGATAATTTATAACGAAAAGAGGTGCCATTGGCTCACGGTTCTGCAGGCTGTAC